ATCATTCCATATAAAAAGGCTTTTGATGAAAAATTATACAAAGAAATTCATGGATATTATTTTACTAAAAAGTGGCAACCAAAGTTACTTCTTCAAAGAGGCCCAAGAACAAAAAAATTATTAAATTTCCTCTTATTTGGAGAAAAGATTTAAAAGCTTTTGTATTGTTGAATTTTTTTTTGTAATCAATTATTTTATGATTATAACTAGTCATTAATTTAATTTTTAACAGTCAACAGACCAAGTAAGGTTCGTGGTTCTATGTGTTCTAGAATTAAAGAATCAATTTATAAGGTTTTACAAACATAGAGAAAGTTGACACATTCACTCTAATATCTGTAATAAATAATTGGAAGGAATCAGAAGATGTTAAGGAATGTTTGAAAGCCTTAATCCTAATGATGATGAAGGCCACTCAAACATTGAAATTATTAATCTACTTGTGTGAAAAAGATCGAATGTGACCAATAGGCAAATGGCCTTTACTAGAGCTGTTTGCCATTGTATTCTAAGTTCTGAACATGAAGGTGTTAAGATTGATCAAACATGTATTCTTGATAGAATGCGAGGTTTTCTTATATGTATTATTTCATTTATTTAAATTTTTATTTTTATAAAATATAGATGCTGTTACAATCACCTTTGCAAACACTTTGCTTTTTTTGGAGGGTTATAACATTATAAAATCTTTGATATTATTATTATATTTATCAGGGATATGATCCAACATCATCTTCTAATGCAGAGTGATCAATAATGTACATATAATATAATTGCTTCATATACTGTACATAATAATTATTTTATATTATTAATGTTTTCTTCATATATATTTATGAATTCGTTGTTATAATTACACTAATAATAACAAAAATATAAATAATAAATGCATTCAAAGTTATAGAAAAATGCTTTTTATAAATGTAATAGTAATTTTTTTACAAATTTACAAATTTATAATTTTTATAACTAAAATTTTTATTGTAAAATTTGCTGATGAATGCGATATATAACCAAAATATTTCAATTAATTTACCGTCATAATTTACACTATTCAATCGTTTGCTATGATGATGTTTTTAACTAGAGAAAAGGTTTTAATAAAATTTCTTTTTACCATATAATATATGTTTTATCACCAATACTTCTTGGTGGATTGACTTTATTTTTTATTAGGAAAGTATAGTGTTCTTTGAACCTACTAAAGCAGCGGAGTGTGTTTGTTATTTTTTAATCTTGTGCTTGAAAAAATAATAATTGTGATTTTATGTTGACGTTTTGAGGATTTAACCGATCTCCTTTTTTCACTAATTTTCTGGTGATTTTGGTGTTGAGGTAATGGTCGATACTGTTGAAGTTTACGATTATAATATTATAATGACATATTTGACGATTGCGAGATGATTGACATAATTTCTATCGAATCATCAGTAGTGTATATTGTTTTATATATAATACACGCTAGTGGAGTTCTAAAGGTCAGCAACGCATGGGCGAGAGAATACATCATCTTGTTTTACGGATGGAATATATATAAGATTATTTTTGCTCATTTAAACAAACAATTTTTATATAACCCTGATTCTTTTTGCATGGCGGAGGATTTCTAATAAATCACCATCGACATTAGTTGTAAATATTGCCAGCATTCTCTTCATCACCGTTTTCTAAATATCTATCTATCATTTTTGGGTAACCATATTTCATCAATTGCATCTCTTACGAATCTGTTTAGTTTATTACGATCTCGTATTGTTTGGAAGAGGGATCTGGTCAGCCTGTTCCATGGTATTCGCTCTTATTCTCTATAGAAAATAACATACTAATACAGAATACACGGAAAACATACTGATACAGAATTCGTTTTTTCCATACTAGTACGTATTTCATATTCACTTAATTCATACTACTATTAGTATGGGAAAATGCGTATTATCATGTTTCCCATAAATCCCGTGTGCATTTCGTGTGTGTTTCGTATGCATTCTGTATCTATCCTGTATCTATCCATACGAATTCCGTACTTTTTGGTGCATTTTACTGGAAGATTCCTAAAATAAAAAACGATTTTATCTTTCTATAAATACAAGATTCATTATCAATTTTTAGATCAATTTTATTTAATGGGTTTTATTAGAGAGTATGAATTATTTCAAACATTATAATGGAGGTATCCCTGATCAAGGTTGTAAAGAATCAGCTGAAAAAAGAATATTGAAGAGTAACGAAAGAAATGTAACAGGTAATAATGAATGGCAGGTGCAAGGAAGTAGGAATAACGCTAATAAAAGGTCTAAAAAAAGGTATTAATAGTAATAATTCTCAAGTAAAACATAAAAGACAAAAAGTATAATTCTGAACTATAATAATGTTTTGAAAACCCAATCAAGTCTCTAGTTCCTCTCTATAATAAATATTTTCAAAATGTGTTCATTTATAAAATTATTATTATAGGTTTTTTTTTATTGTTTTACATGAAATTTTTTCAGGTTACATATTTTGCTAATTACTTTTTGATAGATATTCATTTTATTATTAATTAGTAAATAATTATAAAAAAAAAAAATAGTGAAAGGGACAAATTAATTAATTAAGCAAATAGAGACGACGTTTATTATTGACTTGTTAACTTGAGAGAAATAAATATACAAATATATATAATATATATATGGTACACAATGCCATAGAATCATTTCACGATCAAGAATTTAAAATTTAAAATTTAATAGTTGCAATATTTATTGATTTTCGATTATTACAAGATATACAACATATATATTAATATTAAGAATCAAAATAATCTTCATCGTAATCATAATCTGAATCATAATCCGTATCATAATCATCATAATCATCATAATCATAATCATCATCCCCACCTTGTCTCTTTTTTAATAACTTAATTCTTCTATTAGCAGGTGCTGACCTTTTTGTTAACAATGTTAAGATTGCTCCACCGACATCACCATAACCAACAAATCTTTTTTGGTTGCTGTTCTTCATCATCAATTGCGATCGTTGTTGTGGTGATGGTGAAGCAGAAGAAGAAATTACAAAAAAAAAGATTATTAACAGAATCAGGTAAATATTTTTTCTAATTGATTTATTATTACTAATATTGCTGTTGATGTTGTAGTTGTTGATTCTATTGTTATTGTTGTTATAGTATTCGTCGTAGGACATTTGTTTGATATTTGATTAGTTGGTTGGATTGATTGGTTTTTTATTCTATAGATATTTTTCAGTTTTATTTATTTTCTTGATTGTTAGGATTTCGATTTCCAACATTTTTAAATATCTTTTTTTTTTAATATATTAAATTAAATAACTTTAATAAAATGACAAAATTAAAAGATTTAATTAAAAGATAAATTCGATCCGACAATCTTCTGTATGACGAAAATTGATACACAAAAAATTTGTTGTCAAAAAAAACTGTTTTACTATAACTAATTAAACATATTTCATTTTCTTTGATTCCTTCTCAAATATGGATCACAATGCGAAAGGTAACATTATAGAGAATGTATCACTTTTCGATCTAATCATGTCTATTAACGACTAGCGCTGTCATTCTGTTATTTCAGATACCATAAAAAACCTATTAATTTGAAGGCTACTTCATACACAACTTCACCTAAGGCCAAGAGGCTCATTCCACGACTTCAGCTAGGGATCTAGCTTTATCCAAGATTTGATTTTTGAGGAGCTGATGTTGTATAACGTTGAAAAGATTTGTAACAGGTAAAAAATATAACAACAAAAAACATAGAACATCAAAAAAAAAATTTTCACTTTATTATATATGTTAATTATCAAACTAAATGTTAATCCAAATATAATTTCATTAAGGTGATTTAGAAATGGAATAATAATGAAAGGAATTGCCCCTCTTAAGGTACGAAAATGTTTTGATAATACATAATATTTTCCCATATTTTCTTTTTTACTTTCTATTTTGTCTAGATATCTATAAAAATTAGAAGAATATGTTGATTCGAAACTCCATGTATAAAATTCATAAATAAAACTTAATGCTAAAGCATTCATCTATTTATCAAAAACAATGGGAATTAATTTGTTTAATGTCAGACAAAGAACCTACAACAGAAGATCCATATTTCTGCTTGATAAGATCTATTTTATCTATTAGGGCAAAAGACAAAATATCCATTCCTTGTGTTGGAAAATTATTAAATTTAGCTCCTAATGTTGAATCTATGTTAAAATTAAAAAAAGAAGAAATAACAAATATGATTTATCCAATAGGATTAAGTAAAATTAAAACAAATAGAATTATCGAAACAAGCAAAACTTTAATAAGTAAATATAAAGGTGTTGTTCCCAGCGACGTAAACTTATTAATGAATTTTCCAGGAGTTGGTTTAAAAGTTGCTTCTGTTGTCAGACATTTTGCTTTCAATATTCCTGATTTTCCAGTTGACACTTATTAAACAAAATTTGATGGGTTTGAAAATATATTTTTTAAATAATAATAATAGTATTATATGATTGCACAATCATAATCAATAGATATCAATTATGAAAAGAACAACAATAAAACAAATTATATAAAAATATACAACGTTTGATTTTTGGAAAATTTTACTGAGAAATAAACAGAAAAAATTTTTTTTATGAATATATGAATGAATATATATAATGTATGAATACGTGAGAAATAATTGAACTATTCACAATATATTAATTAGTGAGAAAGAAAAGACATTTGCTATTCTAAGATTATTCTTCTTCATCTTCAGATTCATCACAAACTTCATAATAAGATGGATAAACATTTGTTACATTATCATAATACCACCACCCATTTGACAATTGATGAAAATCAGCTATTACAGTCATTCCAACCATTGCATATTGCAAAGTCTCAAAATCAATATGAACATCAAATGTTTCTACGATTGGTTCTTCGCATGTTCTAACTGTCATTCTGTAAAGTTTTATTCCATCATCGGTTTTGTTATCTTTATCATCATCTAAAGAATCATTGGTTTTTGGTGCTGTTTTAGTATTGTTGACATCATTAGACGCAGATGATGATGAATCGTTCTTATGATCTTTCTCGTCATCTTTCTTATTTTTATTAATTGGATTATCACCTTTATTATCTTTGTCATCTTCATTGATTGCATTATCATCTTTCTTATCTTTATTATCATCTTTCATATCAACTTTCATATCAACCTTCTTATCACCATTCTCTTCAATTTTCACGTCATCGACTTTTTCATCAACTTTCGCATCGTTGACTTTCTCGTCAACTTCCTTTTTAACTTTCTCATCAACTTCCATATCAACTTTCTTGTCAATTTTCTTCTTATTTTTCTCATCAACTTTCATATCATCATTCTCTTCGATTTTCACATCATCAACTTTCTCATCAACTTTCTTTTCAACTTTCTCATCAACTTTCTTTTCATCATTCTCTTCAATTTTCATATCATCATCTGTCTTTTCAACATTCTTATCAACTTTATCTTCATTTTTCTCATCATTCTTCTCATCATTCTTCTCATCATTTTTCATATCATCATCTTTCTTATCGACTTTTTCGTCTACTTTTTTATAATCTTTATCATCTTTTAAAGATTGATCGCTTGATTTCTTTTCTGGTAGTTTTTCTATATCAATTATTTCCACTTTAAGTGCTTTTCTTGTGGCTGATTCAACGCGGTAAAGATTTCCATCTTTTAAAGCATCTTCTCCAAATGCTTTATTAATAATTTCTTTGGCTTCACTTAAAGAGATTTTCATATACTTTATAACATTTTCTAAATCCCAAGGATCATCGAAAATACCATATAATTCACCACCATACAATATAGAACATGCCTTATTAAATTTGTGAAAAGCGGTCAATGCTAGACTTTTACAATTTGGCAACTCTATTTTAGCACGTTCAGTAAATTCCATTGCCCTTGATATATCCTCAGAGTATTCTGGGCACACATTATGTCTAACTAAATAATTTAAAAATGATGACACAACTAAAGGTGCTTCACGAAATTGTTCTAATTGCACATAGCCTGATTTATCGATAAAATAACTAGATAAATAAGCCTTAACTACGTATGTAAAATCTACTATTATTTCATCCTCATCTTCATCGCCATCATCTTGAATAAAGTCTGTTGATTTTCTCATAGTAATGTCTTCACTGGTGGCTTCTGGATCTTCGATATCCTGTTGACCTAAAAATGAATTTTGACCTGTCTTGACTCCTCCAAAACGAAGATAAGAACTAAATACTTGGTTACGAGTTGAAGAAAATTTACGAGTATCTTTGAATCTTTGTATTGCAGTTTCAATTCGAAGTGTTACTGATCGTGAACTATATATTAAAAAATAATTAATTCATTGAGAATTAATGGGAGAAAAAAGGCACACACACTTTACAAATATTAATAATATGTATATAAATATATAAATATAATATTTGGAAGCTTACAGATTATAACGTTCGTTATCATCAACTTCTTTTTCACCAGGATCAACAAATAAAAGTTCCTCCGTTAAACTATCAATTGGTTTTTTCTTTTTTTTCTTCTTCTTTTTCTTTTTTTGTGCAATGCCCAAATTAAGTGTTTGGTTGTCGACGTTAGCATCAGCAGTTTGGTTTGACATCTCAGGCAATTCAGTATTATTTGGATTTTCTTTCTCGTCAGTTTTGTCTAATTCTACTGGGGGATTGGGTTGTGCTGTGCTCTCTTTAATTGATAGATCATTTTGTTCTTGGACAATTTGATTTTCCATTTTTCCCTAAAAAAAAAAAGCTTATCATTACTATTACGCGTCAATTCCACCTAAATATACTTATCAAAAATTAATTGTTATCAAATTAGGAAGTTAATGTAATTCCGTTATCCAATCAGTATAAAATAACTTTTTTACCTTTATAACTTTACTCTTTTTTTTATGGTTTTTTTAGCAAATATATCCAACCAAAATGGCAGAATATTTAGCATCAATATACAGCACTGAAAAAGACAAGTATGTTTGAATCAATTAGTTATTTAAATTAATTTGATTATTTAACGGTGGAAAACTTATTTTATTGTTGGCACGTTACTAACCATATGTGCTGAAATTTTGGAAAAAAAAAAGCATTTCTTTTATATATGGGTAAGATATTCACTCATTCACATTTCCACAAAAAATTTCAGCGCATATGCCTTTAGTTTCGGTGATAACTTTTTATTGTTCTTTTTATTTCAAAATTGGAGCTTGTAGCACGGTGATCGATGCAGTAGAAAACATGTTAAACCAACAATCCTTTGTTCAAATATTTATCAAACCCTTTCTGCACATGACACTAATTGTGATATGACTGATGAGCAAGTTCAGGCGTGATTTTTATGAAGACTTTTTATTGAGCTTTGTAAATATGGTGAAGTTGAAGAAATTCATGTATGTGATCATTTAATATGAAGATGTGCAAAAGACTGCTGATAATTTGAATCAAAGATTTTATTCTGATATTCATTGTCATTGTTATTATTATTTGATCAATTATCTAGCACATGATTTTAAAATGAAAAAAAAAAAGAATTATCGCTAGCAATAGATTTTCGCCAAAATGAAAATGCGGAATGTACTAGAGGTGGATTTTGTAATTTTATAATTATGCATCTAAAGGGAGTATCTCGTTATTTAAAAAAAATTATTTGTAATTATTTAAGAGAACAAAGAAGGAAAAGAGATGATTTTGGAAAATTTCTAAATTGGCGAGTTTTAACTTCATTTTTTTAAATAAATTTTGCATTTTTGTAGGTACCTTTAAGCTTCTGTTTATTATATGATATTAAAGAAAATACAATCTCGTAAAGTTATAGATAGATTTACATATAAGTTAAAATTAATTGATTATTTTTTCGGTTCCTTATTAATTTTTCTGAAATCAGAACACACACACATATATTAGAATTTTTGCATTTTTAATATTAAAAAAATTTTTGATCAAATTTTACTCACCTTGCAGGATCAGAAACATTTAATAATAAAGTATCAGAATCCAATAGTACACGATTTTGAGAACGTGATAAAGTAGAAGCAATGTCCCTAGCTGTCTCAATTTTTCTTAATTCAATAAATCCAGGTTTGTTCTTGATAGCCTCACCAATCAATTCAGCAGATTTAGCTTCACCTTCAGCCTTAATAATGATTGATTGTTTTTCTTGTTTTGCTCGTTCCACTATAAAAAATGCACGTTGTGCTTCCTGTTGAGCAATTTGTTTGGCCTCGACTGATTGAGTAAATTCCGGCGAGAACGCAACATGAGTGATGGACACATCATCCAAAATGATATTAAATTTTTCTGCACGACGTATTAAATTTTCTCTCACCAATCTTGATACCTAAAAAAAAGATTTAGGGAAAAAAAAAAGAAGATAAATTGAATTGAATTTTCAAATAAAAATATTATTATTATATGTAAAACACCAACTTTTTCACGCTGAGTAATTAATTGTGAGACATTGAATTGAGCAACAACTGATTTGAGAACTTCATTTACAATAGAAGGTAAAACACGTTCATCATAATCAACTCCAAGGGTTCTATATATTGTTGATAGTTCTTCAACTTTTGGTTTTGATAGAACACGACATGTGATATTTACCATTTGGAGATCTTTTAAAAAGGAAAAAATTATTTACTCAACTTTCTCTCATTAAAAAGAAAAAAATTATTTATTTAATTTCCCCTCATTAAAAATGTTTTTCATGATTCACACCTTTTGTTCCGGTTAAAGAAGCAATACTTCTTGGTTTAGCTCTAACATCATAAATAATTGGTGTTTCGAACCATGGTATCATAATATGTGTGCCTTCATTATAAATTTTTCTTTGAACACCAGAAATCCTAGTATATTTTATTGCTCTATGACCACCATCAACTAAATAAATATCAATCAAATAATAAATGAATAATAATAAAATTAATTCTAATTTATAATAATTCAAGTTTAATCAATGAAGTGAAGAATGAGTGTATTCTCTCGTACCATTAAACAAACTAGCATTTATACCAAACCCAAGAGTTCCTAAAGCTAAAACTGCACCTGTTCCTGTAAATAGTCCTTTACCACCACCTTTGGGCAGCATACTACTAAGTCTATTTATTGTTTGTCTTCCTTGTGAAGCCATACCTATATAAAATTATTCTACCCATAAAAAAAAAATATTTTGTCAATCAATAAAAATTGAATCAACAAGATTTTATTGGTTGAAATTTGAAATAATCTCGCGCTTTTAAGTGAAATAATTTTTAAAATGTCACTGTGATAAATTATAATTTTAGTATTATATATTCATTATGTAAAATTAAAAGAACTTTTTTAAAGCTATAAGAGAAGAACTTTTAAAGTACATTAATATAATTATTACTGCTACTATTATTATTTTTAAAAAATTAATAAATGTCCAAATAATCTATTTCTAAGAATAAAATAAATCTAATTAGCAAAATTACAACTTATTTACTATACAGATTTATGTATTTTTACTACTACTATTATTATTTATCTCCTTGAGATGGCAAAAACACTTACAATTACAAGAGCAAGAGTTAAA